ATTTGCTCCCATGTCGTGATCGGCGGTAAACGCCATCGTAATTGATTGGTGCCTTGAATATTGAGAGTTTCCATTTTTGATCGTCTCCTGCATTTGTGAGTTTCTATTGGTGTTATGGGGTGTGTCGTTTGTTGATAGGTGTGAGCTTTTGTTGTAAATATTATATCTCCTTGTCATACTTTGGTTGAAATCTGAAGTGTCACTGGTTGTGTCGCTGTTCGTTTCCCACAGTTGGCCTTCGTTGGAGTCATCGCTCGCTTCTAAATCTTTTTCTATCATGTCTTTACATTTGTTGTATTTATCCAATTTTTCTTTGTCTTCTTGGTCGACCGAACCTAATTCCGTTACTATTTGGTGTTTTTTCATTGTCGAGTTCTTGAAATAATATTCTTCTTTTAGCTTCCAATTTTCTTCCATCATTCTTATCTGTTCATTCATTTCTATATGTTTTTGTTCAAGCATTTCGTTGTTGACGTTTTTGTATTCCTCCATATATCTTGTGAACTCTTGGTTGCGTATGTTGTTGTGTTCGTCTATGCATATCGTAATAATACCTCTAATAAAGCAACCTAAGGTTACGTCTTCTGCCCCTAAAAATTCTGCTAAGTCTTTGTCCGTTTGAGTTATTTCCATTCCTGCGTTTGTTAGTATTGTATTTCGCTCTTCGACGCTTTTTTGGGCGTATCCTTCTAAGGCTATAAATTTTTCTCTTGACGGTGTTATACCCATTTTACCGTTGTTTGTGTGTTGCTGCGGAATTCTATGTAAATCGGTTTATGCAGGAGAGAGTTTTTTTTCTCATCATTTGACCAAAATTTATAATAAATTATACATATACTAATAAATTTAACATATTTAACAAGTTTAATATATCTAATATATCTAATATGTTGTTATCTGGAAGAAACATTACTACAGAAAATTGACCTGTATTTATAATAAATTATACATATACTGATAAATTTAACATATTTAACAAGTTTAATATATCTAATATGTGTAATATGATTGACATGTTTGATATGCCAATCATGTTTAACATGTTTTAACATGATTAACTGTTAACATGTCGAACAATGATTAACATGTCGAACATAGTTAAACATATTAAACTTCGTAACACCGAAATAGCACATGATGATCACATGACAATATACAGTAAACAACCGCAGTCATAGCAGGATTGGCGATAGCCATAATCACATGGTTTACCTTGTGGATTGCATTGATCATATATGCAATTAGGATCAACAAAGTCAGCTAAAAAAAGAAAATCAAAATAAGACAAAAAAAAATATGAAATCAGAAAATCCAATTATTATTTACCACCACAGTATTGGCCTTGCGGTCTGCACCCATCACATGTACAAGGAGTAGCAACGCAACTAGCGGAGGTGCTAAAGACGAAGAAGGACAAAAGACTCAAGTTAAAACGATGATGAATAGTTCCGTTCATTTTCATTATAATTTTTTTATTGTTTTCTTTATTTTTATAATTTTTATAACAATTTATCAATGTGGTCAGTACTCTTATTTATATTAAGTTCAGAAAGTTCAATTTTCTTGACATTATGAATGACCCTTATTGTGTACTACTCCGTTAACCAAATGACCATCTTGAAAATTTCATAAAACAATTTTCTTTTTTGATTTCGTAAAGCTCGGCTTGATCAACAAAAAGGTCCTTTATCATAGAAAGGAAAAACCATCGGAACATTCTACTTTTAGTTAAATGTTTCTTGAGCTAAAATTAAACTTACTCATTTTTAGTTTCTCCGGCAGATTTCCTTCAAGACCAATAAATTCAATGTCGCTTTCATTGCTTTTCACATGTATATGTTTAAACTTTTAACGATAATGTGAAATTAATTGATTATAAATAATTCATTACGAAACCCGATATTTACAAATAATGAAAGTATAGTTTAACTGATAAAAAGTAGCATTCCGTTAATAATTTCGGACTAGCTCATATTTGACCCAACAAAAAAAGCAAAGAATGTATCAATAATAATGCCTCAATAAAAACGAAATGTGTTAAATTTGTTGCTCATGTGTAATAAATGTCTAAAAAAGCACCATTTTGTTTAATTTTTGTGTTTGTAATACAGACAAAATGGTGCTTATTTTGGACGTTTTTTGTACATGAACACAAATATAAAATGAATTTAACACATTTCATTTTTATAGATATGTGTGATTGACAAATAAAGGATAGATGGACTTACACATCTCCCTATTGCCTTCTTGTGTATTTCTCTGACAAAATATTAATGCTGTGTCATATGGCAATCGTGAAGACTCTTCACACTTTCAACGTTTTGCATGCCCTGTAAAAAAAGTCGATCCATTCCATCTTTTTTCCGTAAAAGGCTCATATTTCTGGAATTAATAATCTTATATCACGGAATCTATCGAATTTTTTTCATTCTCCGTGAATGGATCCGTGAAAGGATCATTTTTACGGAGTTTTTACAGAAATAATGGATAAAATTTTTTATAAGGATGTTCACATGCCGTTCTTAAACGACGGATAGATAACACGTGCATTGGATGTAATATCTTTGTTAAATTTACTTTTGAATTCTTGTACAAAATGATTTACAAGACGATTGTCAAAATCTTCACCAATAGAAGCAGGATCTCGGAATTGAGAAGTCCTCGGTCCTTCATAACATATGCTTTTGTCGTCACTATTTACTTATATGGTAGGCCCTGTGTTTGCCCTTAAAAATCTGTGTTAGTTATATCTTATTTTATTGTATATTACAAAGCTTATAGATTAAAATAGTTACTAGGAAACGGAAACCGTTGTGAAGAAAAAAAAAATTTGGATAATGTCACGTGAGAGCCAGAAACTCACGTGATCGATAATTTTTCATAATGGGCAGACACCGGACAAATATGTAGACCAAAAATTTCTGCAGCGTGGCTTGGCGAAATTTACTAAAGATAGAAATAAATTTGCGGTTTTTTTTCAAATGAAGGAACATTATTTTACTGTAAAAATGCTCGTAGTTCTTAATAAAAAAAAAATACAAAAAAATGTTTGTATCTGAAGTATTTCTCATAATTCTTTTTTATTTTATAAAATTTATTGTTTGATTTTTTGGTAATTAAAACTAAGTTTCTATCAAGTCTTGAAAACTTTTATAAGAATCATCTTTTTATTACGATTATTAAATAATACAAACCAATTTTGTAATAAATAAAGAATATAATAAAAAAATTTTTTAGGCGGTGCTCTACGTACTATGGAAAGTAGCATTGAACAGTGCTAGTTATAAATCAGACTGACAGGACTCGAAAGCGATTTTGCAGAAATTGATGCAAAATAGATTAGTCCAACATCAGTGGACTATGAATCACATATACCAAGGGCTCAGTAGTTGAGTGTTTATAATCACAAGAGGAATAACTACTCGTTCGGGATGTTTGTTACTCCTATACGAAGGGTTAACGCAATGTATGCGGTGCTTTTTGACTCAACCTTTTGAGGACTTTTTAGTTTACACCATAAAAAATGGTTATTAAATTTAGCAAAATCGACACATAATGACATAAATATCATCGCTTGACATACGCCGTTTTTATAATACGTAATAGAAAATTTAGTTTATTATTATAAATGTTCGTGTAAAGACACTTTATTAGAATGGAAAATTGGAAAAACAGTTCTAAGAATAACGAACAATCTAAAAAAGACCGTGAAATAATCTAAAGTTCTTGACTAAGCTTATTTAAAACAATTTGACAAGAATGTACAATACTTTCTTCTCCTCCTTTATGATAAGAAACAGTAGACACATTATTATTTTTAAAATCAATAATATTTACTTCACTTACTTTGGAAATATGTGGTCGTTCATCCGGTTCTTTGCTTCCAAAATAGATTAAAAATTATATTGCAACAACAAAAATAACAAAGATTGTACTACGAAATCATATTACACTTACATTGATAAAGTTCAATAAATTTAACATTCGTGTTCGGTACAGGCTCTTCTCTCAAATCATTAAGAATTTTCAACATAATATAATTACAGTATCTTCAAGTCCACCAGAACAAAACTCCCAAACTATATATATCAGGTTTCTCGTTATTACATGGAAGTTTTTGACCGACTGGATTGACATTCGGAAAGGATTTGACCTTTTCTTCATAATGGTGTAGTTAGGCCGAAAAATAATTAGCCGCAACGTGATCCGGACCCGGCTCAGGCGCAGATTGTCGTGGAATTCCAGGGGATTTTCTGCGATTAAACCGGGTCCGGATGATCGGCAATCAGGAATTCGGCTCCGTTTTACACCATTATCAATTACACCCCATAACATTCTGGCTCTTTTTGGTATGAACGTCCAACTTTATTGTATCTTTGTATATTAAGATATTATTGAGATGCTAAAAAAAGAATGTTAATTACGCAATATAGCAAATAAAGCAACATTACCGTATATACTTACAAGATCTCCGTGCTATTATGTAAAAAAAAAAATTTTGAATATAAATATCTAGTATTTTCTTTGATTTGGATTTGTGGCGCAGTATTCCAAGTCTATTGTTTAAGCAATTCTTTACTAAGAGTTTTCGAGAAATTTATATATTAGTTCTTTGAAAGGGATTAAGGAAATATACTTTTAATAGCAAAAATAAAATCAAACGTTTGATAGAATAAAGTGAATGAAAGTGTATTTTTTATTAACGCTGTTTATACAAAATCTGGAGCTGAACGTGAATAATAGTTTACACTGTGCCGTTGGGCGGTGAGTTTTTGGGACGTCGAAGTACAAAACGACATTAATAAAATACCCTGTAGCCATTCATTCTGTCAATGAGAAAATGTACCTTTTTTATAATTAATTACACAGGGTAAATTTGTATTTAAAATATGCGGAGTTGCGGACTAAAAAATTTCTGTAACGTGACTAATTTTTTACTGGTCAGATTTACTTTGTATAACATTTAGAAAAATTTTGCGGATTTCTAGTTCTTAATAAAAAAAATACACGATTTCATAATACGCATTAGATATAGAAAATTTTAGTTTATTACTATAAATGTTCGTTCTATTCGAACGGAAAAATGGAAACTCAAGTTATAAGAATAACGAAAAAATCTAAAAAATCTAAAAAATATGCGAAATAATCTAATATTTTTGACAAAGAATATTTAAATCAATCTGACAGGAATGTACAAATTCCGTTTTTTTAGTACTTTCTTCGCTTCCTCTACGATAAGGAACAGTAGACACGTCATTGTTTCCAGAATTTTCGGAATCAATAGTATTAAGTACTTCATTTACTTCAGAAATATGTGGTCGTTCATCTGGTTCTTGTTTCCAGCATTCTATTCAAATAGATTAAAAATTAGATTGCAACAACAAGAATAATATTGTACTAATTATTGATTCGAAATCATTTTACACTTACCCTGATAAAGTCCCACAAATTTAACATTCGTGTTCGGAACAGGCTTCTCTCTCAAACCATTAAGAATTTTAAACATAATAATATCATCTTCAAACCCATCAAACGGCGACAAGCGGCTAGTTAACTCCCAGAACAAAACCCCAAACTATATATGTCAGATTTTTCGTTTGGCTTATATGGAAGTCTTTGACCGAACATTTTAGGATCAACATAAGGTATCACACCCCATACTTCAGTATTATAGCAATCTGACTCTTTTTGATATGAACGTCCAAAATCCGCCAATTTTATTGTTTCTTTGTTTATTAAAATATTATTGGGATGCTAAAAAGAATATGTTAATTATGCAATATAGTAAATAAAACGGCCTGATATACTTACAAGATCCCCGTGTACGATTCCCTTGTCAACATGTAACCATAAAATCGCACTCGTAATCTCTTTAGCAAACTTTATTTGATTCTCCCATTTCAAAGTTAGAGTATCATCTCTTAAATATTTTCCTAATGTCCCACCTTCCGCGTATTCAAGAACAAGAGAATGCTTCTCATCATCTAAAAAATATAAACACGTTAATAAAATACTTTTATTACATATTTATTGCAAAATTGTTATTTACCTTCAAAATTCGTAATTCCACGAAATTGAATTATATTTTCATGAGAATTAGCCAAATATGTTAAATAAACCTAGAAAGAAGCTATTCTTAAATAATCTATAGTTTATACAAAAACTGTTATTGGTAACATACCTCTTTACATCGACACGTCTTTTGATTGCATATTTTGTTGACGTATTCTTCCAATTTGCTACATAAACAGCAGCGGATCCCCCAAAGCCAATAAATTTGAAATGAAGATTACGAGAGTCATAGCGAGTAATTATTTTGTACTCTAAAAATCTAACCAACTTATTGGCATGTGACTATAATGAGACAATCATATGCCACAGATGCATATAATGGCATAATGACATATGCATAATGACATATATATCATATTGTAGTATAATTGTAGATCATATAGCGAACAATCTTTGTAAGTTTTTACTATTGTGTAAAAAAAAAACCATTTTAAATATAAATATCGCTAAATTCTCGAATTTTGTGGCGCAGTATTCCAAGTCTATTGTTCAAGCAATTCTTTAGGCTTTTTAGTGTTCTAAAGTTTTCCGAGCGACTGAGTTAATATATAGATCTTTGAAAAGGATTAAGATAGTATACTTTTTAACAGCAAAATAGGATCAAACGTGCCTTCGTTTTGTGCAAAATTTTGAGGTTGAAAGTGAATAATAGTTTGCACTGTGACGTTAGGCGATGAGTAATATAAAAAGGTATTATATTTTTTTGGGAATCGAAGTTAATTTACAACTAACGACTTGGAGTTTTCAACTAATTATAAGAGAAACTAGCAAGTGGTCGAAAACAATCAGTTCTAAGAATTAGTTGGAACAAAAAGTACAAGACGACAGAATTGCTCCATTATATGTGAATGAACATTTTGTGTTTCTGATGGAAGCAACTGGAAAATCAATTCCAAAATAAAACCACCTGTAGCCTGTAGGTATGTACTACTTTATAATCATTCCGTCAACGAACATATTATACGTACTACTTGGCGAGTCAGATTTATTTTGTACAACATTTGTCTTAGAAAAATTTTACGGTTTTTTCAAAACGAAACATTTATTTTAAAAATGCTCGTAGTTCTTAACAAAAAAAACGCAAAAAATGCTTATACATAACGATAAGACGATTTCATATTACGTATTATACTGTATATAGAAAATTTTTAGTTTATTATTACAAATGTTCGTGTAAAATAGATACTCTATTCGAATGGAAAAATGGAAAAAAACAGTAACGAAAAATCTAAAAAACTGTGAAATAATCTAAAGTTTTTGACTAAGCTTATTTAAAACAATTTGACACGAATGTACAATACTTTCTTCGCCTTCTTTATAATAAGGAACGGTAGATAAATTATTGTTTTCAGAATCAATAATATTAAGTACTTCATTTACTTTGGAAATGTGTGGTCGTTCATCCGGTTCTTGTTTCCAACATTCTATTCAAATAGATTAAAAATTAGATTGCAACAACAAGAATAATAAAGGTTGTACTAGATCCAAAGGAATCATTGCTTCGAAATTATTTTTACACTTACCCTTATAAAGTCCATTGTATTTAACATTCGTGTTTGGAACAGGCTTTTCTCTCAAACCATTAAGAATTTTCAACATAATAATATCATCTCCAAGACCATCAAACGGTGGCAAGCGGCTAGTTAACTCCCAGAACAAAACTCCCAAACTATATATATCAGATTTTTCGTTTGGCTTATATGGAAGTTTTTGACCGACTTGATTAATATTCGGAAAAGGTTCAACCAATTCTTCCAACATTTTAGGGTCAATATAAGGTAATACACCCCATACTTCAGTATTATAACATTCCGACTCTCTTTGACATGAACGTCCAAAATCCGCCAATTTTATTGTATCTTTGTGTATTAAGATATTATTGGGATGCTAAAAAAAAAAAATGAATGTTAATTACGCAATATGGTAATTTTTTTTTTTTTTACGAGATAAACGATAAAAACTTTATTAAGATAATTACGTAAATAACATATGATACACTTACAATATCCCCGTGTACGATTCCCTTGTCAACATGTAGCCATAAAATCGCACTTGTAATCTCTTTAGCAAACTTTAATTGGTTCTCCCATTTCAAAGTTATAGTATCGTCCCTTAAATATTTTCCTAATGTCCCACCTTCCGCATATTCAAGAACAAGAGAATACTTTTCATCATCTAAAGGTTATTAACATGTTAATAAAATACTTTATATTTATCGCAAAATTGTTATTTATTTTACCTTCTATATTCATAACTCCACGAAATTGAATTATATTTTCATGAGAATTAGCCAAATATGTTAAATAAACCTAGAAAAGAAATAATTTTTAAATAATCTATATTCTATAGTTTATACAAAAACTGTTATCGGTAACATACCTCTTTATCATCGACACATCTTTTGATTGCATATTTTGTTGACGTATTCTTCCAATTTGCTACATAAACAGAAGCGGATCCCGAGCCAATAAATTTGGAACGGATAAGATTAAAAGAGTCATGATAATCGATTATTTTGTCCTCCAATAATCTATTTAGTTTTGACTATAATGAGATAAGCATATCAGATATGTCACAACAGTATTTTGGCGGGCATATTTTGGGGCATGTACAACGAAAATTTGCCCATTTTTATTTATACTATTTTCAATGGATGCTATTTTCAATGGATTGATTCTTAATGGATTTTCTTTTGTGTAAAAAAAAAAAACCATTTTCAGCCTATTTTCTTTGATTCGGATTTGTGGCGCAGTATTCCAAGTCTATTGTTCGAGCAATTATTTAGGCTTTTAGTGTCTAAGAGTTTTTTCGAGCGACTGGGTTAATATATATGGATATTTGACAAGGGATTAAGGGAATATGTTTTTAACAGCAAAATAAGATCAAACGTGCGGAACGAAAGAAATGAAATTGTATATTTTATTAACGCTGTTTATATGAAATTTGAGGTTGAAAGTGAATAATTGTTTACACTGCCGTTAGGCGATGAACAATATAAAAAGGTATTATATTTCTTGTTTTTGGAGCGTCGAAGTTAATTTACAATTAACGACTTGGAATTTTTAACTGATTATAAGAGAAACGAGCAAGAGCTCGAAATCATAATCCGTTATACCAAAAATTAAAAAAATTAATTGGAACAAAAAGTACAAGACGATGATAGAATTGCCCCATTATATGTGAATGTGTTCCTGTTGGAACGTTACAACTGGAAAATCCAATCCAAATGTAGTTGTAGGGGTATGTATGTACTACTAGTACTTCTGTATGTCTATAAATTCATTCTGTGTAACGTATTATATGTACAACCATTTGCACTTTTCCAAAAAATGTTCAGTAACGTGACTTGACGAGTCAGATTTAGTACAACATTTATCTATAAAGTTTAGAAATTTTCGCAAAACGAGAGAATATTTATTTTAAAATGTGTTTGTAGTTCTTAATAAAAAAGGATACCCCTTTTTTACTTTTAAAAAAATTTTAGTAATTAAGTTGAATAGATTATTTTAAAATTTACATTAAATTTTAGTTTATATTAATTAATAATCGTAATAAAAGGGATAATTTTTATAAAAGTATTTACAAAACTTGATAGTTCACCTTATATTCCTATGATTTTCAATATATTTTATTTAATAGGAAAAAAAAAATTCGTTTTTTATAGGTAAGATACGAGAATATAATTGAATAAATCAATAATATACATTCCAAGATGAAATTATAGGAAAAAACCGTGCAAATATTAAGACTATTTTATCAATATATCTATTACTGATTTTTGGATTATTTATTAGTGCAAGCCACGGTACCGAATATTTTATTTATTTTTATTTTATCAAAGTGATACTTATGCAAGCGTGAAACAGTATCTAAAACTAACATAAGGTCGATTCATTGTTCATAAAGTAACGCGAAAAGCGCAACGGTACCATGCACATGACATTCAGCCAATAATATTCCCTAAATCAACTAACCCTATTTTAATAATTTTTTTTTTTCCTAAAATATAATTATTTTATATGTATAAACAGTTCTATTTTTATGTATTATTACTAAAATAAGTTGTTTATAATTCAGTATTTCAGTATTTATTATAATTAGGCCGGAACCGGTTAACCGGATCATAATAATTCGCGAAAAAATTCAAGAATAAGTCACGTGTTTATTTTCTATTTGCCGGAAACCTGGCAACCCGGCATCAATCTTTGCAACTTATATGAAATTTGCTTTTAATACATAAATTGCGTTTATAACGCGCTTAAAAGCTTATTTTGTTTCGCTCAATTGAATATTAACGCAATATTATACCTTAAAATTTTGCAAAAATTGATAAAATTGATTGTACCGATTTAAAATAATTTATTAATAAGTGTAAATTTCTTAAAGTATTTTGGATTGACGTATGTACAACCTAAAAAAGACGTTAATTAGGAAAGGTAGTTTCTGGGGTAGGCAAATATTTGTGCAGTAATATCGCCAATATTATTTCCATCACACAAAAGTGTTAGTATTAAGGTAAGCTTTTTTATGTAATCAACTTTAATTTTACGTTTTGATTTTAAGTTTCATGAAGTGTATCAAAAAAACCAAATTTCACGTTAAATTTTTTTTTTATGTTAAACGCAGATTTTTAATTTTTATTTAGATGTAAAAATAATTCAGAGTATCGAAAAAACAAATCATATTGGATTGATATATTAAAAGAATTTCAGAATTAAAAAATTATTCAAATTTAGATAATTTTCATTTAAAAGACACGGTGAGTTTCGAATAACCAAGTTTTGAAATGCCTTAACCGGCTAACCTAATTATTAATATGTATATGAACTGTGAACAAAATATCTAATTATCTAAATATTAAAAAAAAGATTCGAGCGGGAAAACAAAATATAAAAATTAAATTTAAACAGAATAAAAATTTTTGACCGACATAAATTTTGAAACCACTACAATTAGATTAAACGCTCGATCACCTTAAATTTGATCGAGCATATTGTAAATTACCGGCTAATTTTATAAAATAAATATTATTTTTTTTTTGCAAGCACAAAAAAGAAAAAAAACAAGGAAAATAAAAAAAAAAACAAACAACGAAAAAAAAAAGAGAAAAATAATGGAATATACAAATATACAATAACATTCTCTTTGTTCCACATGAAAAAAATTTTATCCGCTTTATCTCTAATCTACAACAAAATTTCCCCAAAACGATAAAACCTTAAAATTCTGTATAACATATGGCGAAAAATTTTTTTTTGACTATCATAACGCATAACGTAATTATTAGATAATAATCGAGATTTTTTACCGGCGATAAACAACATTGCTTTTAGTGATAAATAAAGTTTTTCCAAGTATCACAACATATTGTCGTGAGAAAATTTTTGAACAATAAATTAATTCATATTTCTTTTTTAGGAAAATTTTTAAAATTTTAAAAGTTTTTCATTGGTTCATAAAATTTTAAAATTACATAAATTATAAATTATTTTGTAAATCTGTTAACTTTAAAAATTTTGAATTCGGACGTTTCTCGTTTTTTATAAAGTTTCGGTTTTTTTTAATTTATTTAGCTAGTTAAATTGATTAGAGGAATTCTAACTATTTTACGTAAATTTTATTATATTATTAATTTTTGTTTTTGGTATGTTGTATAAAAATTGGGTTTTGAACCTTTTTGGGTTCTTTGAATAAATTGTATAGAAACATAACGTATACTTTGCAGTTTTATAAAGTTTATAAAGTTTTATTACACATAAAGAAAAAAAAATTGAAAATCCGAAAAAAACGCAAACGATCGATCGATAAGTCGCTGAGATAGACAGTTTTCGCAAACTTTATTTTTTTTTTTTTTTTTCAAAAGTTATATCGTGATACCCATCTCTTATCTTAATCAATCTCGTTAAACGGCGACGGCGTTAAACAAATTTTTGATAAAATCAGAAGATAAAATCTAGAAATTACTTGGCAAAAAATAGACAATTATTATATGATACTTGTGATTCCATGCATGTTAGAGACAATATGAAAATCTATTTTCGGACTTGAATTCCTAAAAAAAATAGATACGTAAATGTTTCATATCACAATATAATAATTTCCGATAATTTCGGTTAAAGTTAAAGCATTGACTAGTTCTGTCCGATGTATTAATTAATTTCTTATATAGATAGTCAACGATAGTCATGTTAATCACCCATGATTTTCAAATCCGAAATAAGCTTAATATTCGATGCTGTTACATCCGAACATCCGATCGGATTCTCTGGCTTGTTCTGGTGTAACGTTTCTATTCTGTCACAAGGTGATACCTACGATCTCTTTCTCGAATTTCTGATCTCTTTCTTACTTTCTTTCTTTATTTAAAATAATTTATTATTGTATCCTCATATGTTCTTCGTGTTGTTTCTCAAAATTTAAATATATATATTGATCAATTTTTTTTCGGTTTTTTTTTTTNTTTTCATTTTCAACTTGAAAAATTTTCTAATAAAGCATTTTTTATACCCATTTTAAAAACGAAGAAATTTAAAAAAAAAATGAACGTCACAAAGAGTGATAATTTTTTATTACCACAATTGAAACTTAATAATATGGTTTCAGAATTACAAAAAGGTCTCATAAATGACATGTATTGGCTTCTTAAAGAATCTAATAATCACGATGCGATAATAAATATTGGTGAAGCTCCTAATGTAAAAAGTTTTAAAGCACATACGAGTATATTAAGCGCAAGGTCCTTATATTTTCGTGCTATATTATCGAACGGTTATTTGAATAAAAGAAATTCATTAATTGAAATAACTCAATCGAATATTCAACCAGAAGTATTTGAGGTTATCTTAAAGTAAGTATTTATATATATATATATATACACATACATTTCATGTAGTACGTATAGTAATTTAATTATTTCTTTTTTTCTTTTTCGTCTAGATTCCTTTATACAGGAAAAATATCTCTCAAAAATGAAAAAGATGTAAAATATTTATTCGATTATATCATCGCGGCGGAAAAATTATGGTTATATCAATTGATACAATATATTGAAAATTATATGATATATCAATTGACTGATTGGTTAAAATCAAATTTCGTTTACGTTTTAATTAAAACACATTCAAATTCTTCATCATTCAGATTATTACATGAATTCGTTAATGATATGTTAAGAAATCATTCTTATTTATTATTCGATTCTAATCATTTTAATATTATCCCTGAAAATATTTTAGTTCAATTATTACAACATCGTAGATTTAAAGATGTAACTGAAGAAAAAATTTGGAATACAGTATTAAATTGGGGTATAAATCAAAATATTGATCTACTTGAAAAAGATATTCGTAATTGGACTCCTTTAGATTATAGTAAATTACAAACTAGTTTACAACGTTGTGTTCCACTTATTCGTTTCACAAATATTCCTCCTAAAATATTTTATGATCTTGTTGAACCTTATAAAGAAATTTTAACGTAAGTAAATCATATATTATTATTCATACTTTTTTTTTTTTTTTTAAAAAAAAAAAAAAATTTCAAAAAGTTAATTTAATTTAATTCATTCACTTTATTATTATTAGGCAAGGACTTTATCAAAAGATTATGCAAAATACAATGTTTATTACCTATAATAGATTGATGCCTCGCTCTCTTCCTTTACAATCACTATCTTCTTCCAAATCATCAAAAACTTCTCAGAAACGTGATTCATTTTCTTCGATTCCATCTCCGTTATTACAAGCCTTTCCCATGCCACCTCCTAAAGAGGAATCATGGCTATCTTCTAAAGAGAAATCATTACCTCCTCCTAAAGAGGAATCATGGTCACCTTCTAAAGAGAAATCATTACCTCCTCCTAAAGAGGAATCATGGCCACCTTATAAAGAGAAATCATTACCATCTTCTAAAGAGGAATCATGGTCACCTTATAAAGAGAAATCATCACCACCTTCTAAAGAGGAATCATGGTCACCTTATAAAGAGAAATCATCATCACCTTCTAAAGAGGAATCATTGTCACCTTCTAAAGAGAAATCATTGTCACCTTCTAAAGAGAAATCATTGGCACCTTACAAAGAGAAAACATTAGATGAATTAATATTATTTACCTCGAAAAATAAATCTCCGCCAAAATCAACTGTTAATAATATCCCTGATACTACTGAAAGTCCCACATCCATATCAAAATCTACTTCTACAGCTACGTTGAAATCAAAAAATTCTATTAAAAGAAGTGGTTCAATTAAAAAACCGGATGAATTATTAGCTAAAATAACAAGTAGCGTATTATCATCAACATATACGGTCCGAAGAAAACCAAAATCATCATCAATGACATCATATCCAATTGAAACTTTAGAAAAAAGTTTATTATCAGCGGAAGAAAATCTTAAAAGATCAAATACTACAAAAAAATCAGAATTTTCAAACTTTGAATCAATTTTAGAATTAAAAACCTTAAAATCATTTGGTCCAGAAATAGATGCAAGTCCATTAACATTACGTAAAATGAAAAGAATTTTAAATAGAAAAACTTCAATAGTTTCAAGTTCATCATCAAGTTCAACTATGTCAGTTTCTACTTTACCTAGATAATGTTACTATATACTTATAAATTCTTAACTTGTTAGGAGGGGTGTTAGGGAATATAAAAAATGTAGATTAAAAATTTATATTTTGTTAAATAGATTGTTAAAATTAATGACTCTTACAGTTTATATTTTTAATATAAATAAAATATTATATTTATTATAAAGTTCGGAAAATTATTCCGAAATTAATTAAAATGTATAAAATATATTCGCAGCGCTTGAAATCCCTTTTATACATGATTTCTTATATTTATTTTAAAAAGTGCTAACGATACATTTAATATTGAGGAATAAAGAAATAAAACGACCCGTATTTGCATGATATTCATAATCATTTTTCAAATTTACACTATGACATAATTTCTACCAAAATTTTTAAACGACTGACATAAAAATAAAAAGAATGCGCTACGTTGCATATCCGATGTTTCTCTCGTTTGTTCACGTGAAATTCATAACAGCCACGTGATAATAAAGTGTGAATTCTGAATTTTTAGTGGATTTTATCAATGATTTTTCTTAAAGAATTCTGCTTTAACTCATTATTTTATCACTATTTTCTCTATTTTATCGAAATCATCAAGTTATCTAACTTCAGAATATATCATCTTTTCACTATTTTACATATATCGCGTGATAAATTCAATTCAGCAATTCCGCAGTATCTAATCGTCTCATTAGGGTACAGTAAAATTTACAGAGCCATTTCACCGACATGAAATTAACCGACGCCATTTTGCGAACTTTCATTTTACCGACATGAAAATTTACCTACTCCATTTCACCGAAATGTCATTTTACTGACATGTAAAACCGACTTAACTTATTAGCTGCGCCTTATTTCTTACTGCGCCTTAATTTCAAATTATTCCGAGTCCTGAAAATGTGAAAGAAGGTCAACAAACTAATTACAAAGTGTATTAGTAATGCAAGCTTATATAGTACAAATGTAATTATTCCTTTGTAATTTTTTTCTCTATTTATTTTTTCAAGTAGTACGGTTAGAATTTAGAGACAAAAAAATTTATATCATTGAAAATATTCCTTGCTTTCTTATTAATACCGTAAAATAAATCAAAGGCAAAATTTCATGATAGTCAATACTATGTCGTTCTGTTGGCAAAATGATTTGTCGGTAAAATAGGGATAATAGGGATTCGTTAAAATAGGTTTCGGACAAATGTGATGTCGGTGAAATGGCAAGTAGGCAAAATGACGTCGATAAATTTTATGTCGATGAAACAGGTGTCGGTAAAATGAGTGAATACGATTAAGACATAGTACGTTTATTGTTTATTCAAATTTCCATATTTTGTCGTTCTTCAAATTATTTTTATACATTAAATTTAATAATGTATATTATCATCCAACTGATATTTTAATTTTATAAAATTATTTTATTGTACTTTAATTCCAAAGTAATATAATCTACAACTAAAAATATATTTTGAGTAAATTTTTTTTTTTAAAATTCTACCCATAAAAAAAGTAATAACAGATAAATAAGATAATATTAATTCTGAGCGGGAATGATAAGTTTAAAATTAATAAGATCGTATTAATTTGATCATTTTTAATCAAATATTTCAAATAGGCTAATAAATATAATTTTGAGTTTGATATTCTAAATTACAAATAATAGTTAAAGAAAACAAAACTCATGAAATTTCTGAAAGGAAGCCTATTCTGAAAGTGCGTGAAGATGACTCCAAAAGCGAAGCTCAAATATCAACTGCTGAAACTTTATCATTTTAATGATAAAAAATACTTATCCCGCAACAAGAAATTTAGTTACAGATAAAAAGATGTACAATAATAGGTTTGGATTCAAATACAGAAATACTCTGTCTCGTATTTCGTCAGCTTGATAGAATTATTACTTATAGATAAATAGATATTCATTAAATTTTTTGATTTTTTATAGGGGGTCAAGTGTGCACAGTGAATAAGAAATCTCAACGCCTCAACCTGTATGTATTTCTTTTTGTATTATACAAATTCTCAATAATAAATATTTTTCTATAAATGTACAGTAATTACAGTATATAATTATTATATCAGCCGCGGCGGTTTAGTCGCGGTTTAGTCAGACTGGAATTTTTTATAGCATCATTTCAGTTATTATAAAATGATTTGGGATTAAACCATCCAATAAATTGAATATGCACAAAAGTTTGTTGAAAGTATTGCAATATTTTATTAATAGTGGCCTCTAAATTTTTTTTTTTTTGAACAAATTCAATAAAATATACAATTTTATTAATTATTCATTAATGATTCAGTTCTTATTTATTAATTACTTGAAATACTTCATAATATTCTACTGTGAAATTATTTTCTGGAATTCCTACATTAGGATAATTGCAATCAGAATTAGACCATTTATTCCGGTTGCAGTGTAAATTGCCCATGGTTGGTCCATAAGTGCCATAACAAAAAACAGCTGACTTCTGATTGATAACATAACCTACTTTCGCAGTAGAAATATTTTTTCCATCTGTAAAATTAAAAATAAAGCTATCTGTTGTAGTTTTCCAATTATTACCATTCCAATCAAGTGGATTATACCCTCCAATTATTTGTGTAGAATCTTTAATTTTTGCTACCCAAATAGTAGCTCCTTTATTGTCACAATTTTCATGAAAAGTTTTAGTGTCAGTTCCATCCCGATTTGAACGATATAATAATTTAAAATCATATGGAATATTTTTCATATTATAATGTGAAGAATCTTTCCTCTCAATCCATGAAGCAAAAATAGGAACATGTTTTGATTCAATCAAGGTTGAATCAAGATGATACCGATTTCTTGAAGGTGGTAAATTAGTTTTAAATTTCATATTAGGAACTATGTAAAATTCTAAAAGATTATGAATTAAATCTTGCGGTAAGACGTCTTTGTAACAATAAACTTTGTAAAAGAAATCAGTAGGTTCAATATCATAAAATCGAATTAAGGGAATAAATCTGTATAATTCTCTTTCAACTCTTATAATATCTTCTTTACTCCATTTTGTTGAATCATCCTTAATATTTTGTTGTGCAAAACACCATTTTAATAAATTCTCCCAAATTTCAATTTCATCTATATTTATGTCGTCTCTTTTTAATAAAAATTCTAACAAAGGAGCTTTTAAACTAATAAATTTATCAGAGCTGAATAAAATTTTAGGTTCTTCACAAATTTTTTCAAGACAAAAATTCCATAAATCCGTAAATGTTTCATGTTGATAAACTGTTTCAAGAATTCCAGTTGGATTTTGTTGTAAAAATTCAGTTTTATGTTCAATCAAAAATTCTTGAATGTGGGAAACTAACGAATTGATATTTAGCTCATCCACAGCTATCAACAACTCCAATACATCAGGACCTTGTAAATTTTTCAATTCAATAATTCCACAATAAATGAACCTAACATATTTAACAGTTAGAAAATTATAAATTGTGTAAATTAAAAAATTTATCATAAATTATTAAAGTTATTACCTAAGAATAATATTAAATAATTGGGGTGAAATATTTGGTTTTTTAAAAATAAATTTTCCATCTCTTTTCTCAGCCCATTCATTAGAAAATGCAGAACGGAAATATTGAGACCTAATACACAAAATATTTGAATGAGCATGAATTTCTTTTCTATTTTGTCCCTCTCCAGCATGGATAATAACGTCATATCCAATTTCTGTTTCAAAAAGTTTTTCATAGTCGTTAGATAATTCTGCCAAAAATTTTGAAGACATGATTTTTTTAATGTAAAAAAACAATAAATTTTAAGTTTGAAAGCCATAACTTTATTTAAATAATTTTATGTCGATTGCGTATTTTGTGTACCATGAATTTCTAGAAACAGTTACTGTAGATTGTGTCATTCATTTTTTTTAAGTCATGTGACAAATTATTACGAGTGTCCAATAATAGAAGTATTATTGTTAAGATGTTAAAAACTACGGATCTTACTGATTTATTGAATCCCTTTGCTAATATTCAGTCGCATTTTTATCAGAACTCACATAATCGTGATATCAAAATCTTAAATGATCAAAAAATCTCAAATGATGCATCACAAGTTTGTTTATAATTATGTAAACTCGTATTTTTTTACACAGTATTTCATTTATTAAGTTCACTAGTCTCTTATGACTTACTACTTATTAATAAAAAAAAATTAAAAGAAATAAATGCGTTACACATAAGTTGTTAATAAACAATTTACTATCTCTAAAATCATTTTTTTTACATTAATATCAATAAGGTGTTGAGAAAAACACCTAATAAATTTTTATAATTTTAATGTCTTTTTGAACGTGTAAGTAAAAGCTGAAAAAAATAAAGCACTTAAATGTAATAAATTTTTATCTTGGGAACAATCATTTTATCCATTCTCATACATCAGGAATTTTTTTCCGTTTAAAATCCACATGGAAATCCACATCAAATACTGTGAAATATGTGGAAATCTAAATATTTTCCGAATACCCTGTGACGAAACACGTGGTATTTTCGGCATAAGTCCACGAAATTCGGTGTGGATCCATGTAGGATATTGGAAATGTGTGGAATTCCACGTATTTCTGAGCAAACCCACGTGGAATTACATGGATCGACCCACCTAAAAACTTCCTGATGTAGGTTCATTAGTTTGCTGTCTTTTCTAAAAGATTCTCATAAGTTTTTTATTAAAAAAAAAATTTCAAAAATATATTGGCATTATTCAATAACTTATTTCTTAATTATTTGAAATACTTCATAATTTTCTACTATAAAGTTTTCCGGAATTCCTATATTAGGATAATTGCCATCAGAATTAGACCATTTATTCTGGTGGCAGTGTAAATTGCCCATGGTTGGTCCATAAGTATCATGACAAAAAACAGCATACTCCCGATAATTAACATAGCTTACTTTTGAAGTAGAAATATTTTTTCCGTCTGTAAAATTAAAAATAAAGCTATCTCCTGTAGTTTTCCAACCATTACCATTCCAATCAAGTGGATTATACCCTCCAATTATTTGTGTAGAATTTTTAATTTTTGCTACCCAAATAGTAGCTCCTTTATTGTCACAATTTTTATGAAAAGTTTTAGTGTCAGTTCCATCCCGATTTGAACGATATAATAATTTAAAATCATATGGAATATTTTTCATATTATAATGTGAAGAATCTTTCCTCTCGATCCATGAAGCAAAAATAGGAACATGTTTTGATTCAATCAAGGTTGAATCAAGATGATACCGATTTCTTGAAGGTGGTAAATTAGTTTTAAATTTCATATTAGGAACTACTATGTAAAATTCTAAAAGATTATGAATTAAATCTTGCGGTAAGACGTCTTTGCAACAATAAACTTTGTAAAAGAAATCAGTAGGTTCAATATCATAAAATCGAATTAAGGGAATAAATCTGTATAATTCTCTTTCAACTCTTATAATATCTTCTTTACTCCATTTTGTTGGATCAT